TCTGCATCTATCAGATACCCTTGAGGGAACTATTAAATTGCACTCCTAACTTGAGGGAACTATTAAATTGCACTCCTAAATTATAGTGTCATTTTTACTTTATTCCTTAAACTTTAAAAATTTTCACTTTACATCTTAATTTTTAAATTTGTCTCATTTAAGCTCTTTTATAAGAACTTATGTTAAAAGCAAATAGAAAAATAGAGAGTTAAATGTAATCATGTAAATTTTACATATTTATTTTTAATCAAAATTTAAACAGAAAAATCACGTGACTGCATTATTTTTTTATATTTATATTTAATAGAAATTACAATAAAAAAGGTTTAGTGTGAACAATTTAAAGTTCAAGAGATAAAATGAGAGCTCACTTTTAAAATTCATAAAGTAAACTGAGAATGACTTTAAAAGTTAGGTGCACTACTGATAATAATCTTAAATTTAAATTCGACATAGGGTATGTTTGGTAGTGATTCTTAGAACCCAAAATCAATTCTCTAGTCATCCACAGCTGAAATTCGTGTTTGGTAAAAATCATAAAAAGTGATTCTTAAATTTTTTTTGAAGAATTTTACAGTCAAAATTAGAAACAGCCCAAATGGAACTTTAACTTTTAGATGATACGACAATCATTTTAAAGTACAATTAATGAAACTTTCATAATACCCTTGTAATCAATACTTCTTACACTTTACCAAACGCTCAGCTGTTTTTTTATAATAGTTATTTTTTTTTCAGCACAACTAATAACAATTTTTTTAAAATCTACAGCACTACTAAATTGGCTCATAGTCTAATAGAAAGGAAAGATAAAAATTAGGGGCCCGTTTAGTTCACTGATTCGAGTTTTTAATTTGAGTTGAGATGTGACTTTATGTGAGAGCTTTTTACTGTATCAAAAAAAAAATTAGATATGACTGTTTCTGAGAGCTTTTTACTGTAGTAAAACTCGAATTCTAAACTCGAATCGGTGAAATGAACGGGCTTTTAAAAATTTTATTTGATGTCACATCCTCCTTTCATCAACTCCTACTTTACAAAGTCGAAGTAATGTACAAAATTTCCCAAGGGATTCTCGGAATAGGAGGGTCATGGAAATGTCTTGGTTCTTTATTAAACAGACGTAATAGAGATGATTCTTCAAGCATGCCTAGCCACCAGCGGGCTGTACTGTGCTTGCCAAGCACGTTCCTTGCATGAGTGAGCTATATGTGAATTGATTTGGCATCAACCCTCTTCTCATCATGTCATCACGCAATTCGAATGCCTTGGTCAGTTCTCCGGTGACACAGCAACCATGTATCAAAAAGTTATACGCCAGTGCATCAGGCTTTAAACCCTTATCTAGCATGGTATCCCATAGTCTAGTAGCTTCCTGCAAATTGCCCCTTTTACAATACTCGTAAATAAGGGTTGAATAGGTGATGCAATCTGGAAAAATACCGTTGTTCATCATCCCAACCAGGAGCTCAGAAGCCTCCTCAAATTTACCCATTTTGCAGAAACCATGAATGAGCATATTATATGTTACAGTGTTGGCTAAAAGCCCTTCAAGCATGGCCTTGTGCAGCTGTGTGGCTTTCTCCATATTTCCGTCATTGATAAGGTGGTTTAAGAAACAACCATATGTTATGCGATTGGGAGGAGAATCGCTAATCAGCATCTGCTCACAAAGACGCTCAGCTTGAGTCGTATATCCTGCCTTGCATAATCCATGTATCAAAGCAGTATACGTTACAACATTAGGAATGCATCCTTCACCAACCATTATATCCCAAACTCCAAATGCCTCCTTTAACTTTCCTGATTTTCCATATGCATCAATCATACTTGTATATATAATGTTATCAGGCCTCAATTGTTGATCACACATCGCCTTCAAGAGACTGAATAACTTTCTTGTATCCTGTTGCTTTAGAGTTCCATTAATTAGTATGGCATAACAAACCAGATCCATGTTGACTCCTCTTTCAATCATTTCACGACATGCACTCAATGCGTCCTTTAATCTCCCTTCCTTGCAGTAACCATGTAACAGTGCACTATAACACATCTCATTTAAGTCACGATTCTCTTTATGAAGGTCATCTACAAACTCTTTGGCTTCAGAAACTCTGCCTGTAGAACACAGACCACTTATTAGAGGTCTATAAGTGTATGTATCAGGCGTAAGACCATTCTCTACCATTTCATCAAGCAGTTCAAAGGCTCTTGTTGTGTTGCCTTCGCAACAGTACTCCTCTATCATGACATTGTAAGTCACCTCATTAGGCATGATATTCCTTTTTACCATTTCATCGAACAAATCATTCGCTTCAGGCATCCTATTTGCACGACAAAGACCAGAGATAAGTGCAGTAAAGGTGTAAACATTTGGTGCAATGCCCTTCCCTATCATTTCATGATATAGCCTAATAGCCTTGTGGATTTCTCCAGCTTTGCAGTATCCATCTATCAGAGATGTATAGGTTGCAACAGTTGGCACCAATCCTCTGCTAATCATCTCAGTGAAGAAAGTCTCCGCTGCAGTTAAACTCCCGAATTTACATTCCCCATTGATCAAAGAATTGTACGGATACACCGTTGCTCTGATCCCAGTGTCACTCATTTTGTCAAGATAGCGCACTGCAACATCTAGTTCACCCCTTCTACAGAAAGAATCTATCAAAATGGAATAAGTAATGTCATTCGGAAACAAACCCTTCTTATCCATGTTACTAAAAAGCGACTCCGCCTTGTCTATCTTCCCATCTTTGCACAAAGAATTAATCAGCGAATTGTAAACAAACAAATTAGGTACAACTCCGACTCCACTCACTTTATTTACCAAATCAAAAGCATCTTCAATCTTCCCCTTCTTCCTCAACCCATCCACCAGACCCGAAAGAGCAGCCTCACTCGGGACAAACCCCAATTCCATCATCTCATCCATTAAATCCACACCAATCTCAAACTCCTGCACTCTGCAAAACCCAAGTACCAAAGTACAATATGTGACTACATCAGCTTTTAACCCTTTTTGACCCAACAAATTCTTAACTCCAACAGCCTCCCAAGCCCTATGGCTCTTGCACAGCCCATGAATCAACACATTATATGTAACTACACTCAAAGCACACCCATTTGATTCAGCACTCTTAATCACTTCCTTAGCTTGGTCAAAATCCTTCAATTCACATAAACTTCGAACAACATTAGTGTACATATAAACATCAGGCGAGATACCCACATTCTCAAACTCGTGAAAAAGTTCTAAAACAACATTGAATTGTCTAATTCTCACAAGCCCATTGAAAAGGGCACTCAAAGTTCTAACCTCAGGCAATAATCTATTCTCCCTCATGAGCCTCACAACCACAACACCATCAAAGACTTTCTTATTCTGCACGTAATTTTGGACGAACAAATCAAATCCCAAAGTCGAACCAAACTTGCAATTCTCATAAGAATTCAGAAAGCAGTCAAACAATTCGTTAGGGCTCAAACCTCGAAGGCGGAGGGTCTGCAACAGCGAAGACGCCGGCCAAAATAGGTTAGACTGAACGAGAGCGTGAATCAGAATGCAAAACGACGCCGTCGAGTGGTTGAACTCCTTGTGAAGGCCCAAGAAGTTGAAGAATCTCAAGGCTAACCTGGAGTCGTCGAGAGTTCGGATGAGAAGCTTCATAGGTTAGACTGAACGAGAGCGTGTATCAGAATGCAAAACGACGCCGTCGAGTGGTTGAACTCCTTGTGAAGGCCCAAGAAGTTGAAGAATCTCAAGGCTAACCTGGAGTCGTCGAGAGTTCGGATGAGAAGCTTCTCAACGTGGTGGGGCTTCAACGTGGCGGAAATGAAGGCGTCGTCGAGAGCCGTTTTCCAGCTCTGGTTTCCTCGGACGATGCCGCTGAGGATCGACACGAAGTGAGAGTCGTTTTCGTCATTGTCTCCGGCCAATGATTTAGGAAGAGTGCAGAGATTTTTGTGGCATCGGCGAAACCGAAGGTCTGAGATGAAACAGTGAGGACGAATTGTCCTCATCTCGGATTCAAAATGACGGTCTAAGTTTCGGCCATGGAGGTCTAAGGTTGAAGCTTGATGCTCCGGAGTTGCAGATGGCGAGAGTGCTTATTATGTAAATGGACCGGGCCTAAAATGTCACTTGCATGGAAGTGAGGGAGGACCTAATAGTCCTTTTTGGGCCTAATGGGTCAAGTAGTTTGGTGTGTAGTCTTCAAAAGTGATATAGTTGAAGAGAAGTTGGGAAATTAGCGAGTAGAATTATATGGAACTTTTAAAAAAAAAATTTAAAATATGAAAATTATGTAATAGTTATCCTAAAGATTTTCACTTTTATGCTACAAATTAAATCACGTTGCAATTATTAAACCATTTTATATATTACAACATTATATATACTACTAAAGGAGGTACCGGGTTTACTATTCTTTAAATAGTGTATGGTCCCTTCTCTCTTTAAGTTTTGGAAAAAATTTGTCTATGTCCTTTGATTGTTGTTTTTATCGTTTTGTCATCAGTTTCTTATTTTTTCAGTTGGACTTTTTAGTCATTTCTACTGCCCCACCATTACCGCGTTATTTTGTTTCTCTAGTGTGAAAATGATTGTGTGTAGCGAAATTTACTGTAAAGTCCACGTGTCAAAACACAATTGGGCACCTTCTTAAATGTGCTCCACATGACACAATACATATCGCCAGATAAATAACGCCGCCAAGTGTCATAAATTTAAAGGTGAAGAAGAACGCGCTCACGTGAAACTGAAACAGATGATCCCATGCATCTCTAATTGTGGCCAACAGCCTTAGCACGTGTCGTGCTTCAATTTGTCAGAAGAATCAAGCGGCAGGCCCCACCTCCAATGATGCTGACGACTTTGTCCCTTGCTCCACTCTGGGCGCACATCTTCTTGCCCGTGCGTTTCACGCACCAATCGCAACCACTGACTTTTTAGATCTAACAGCCTATGATAAATCCCATATTATTTTAAATTATTATTATTTTTTATAATTAATGAATAAATTTTAATGGATTTGTAGCTCAAGTTTATCCATTTTAACACCATTTTGCGCGAAATTTCTAATACGACTTAGATAAAAATATTATAAATAATCAAATTACATTCAACAAATACACAAAATAAAATAAAATCACGTCCAATTGAATTAACAAATAAATTAAACAAAATAGGTCCTTATGGGCCTATCAGCTCGATCACTCAGCTACCACTATAGACCCCTAAAAACATTTCATTCTTAAAGCTCTGTCACATATGCCACACGCGAGCTCTTTGGGCCGGACCAAATAGAATTCGGGTCATTGTACTCTGACATGTTTCTTTTATACGTTTTTTACATTTTTGTTTCTTTCTTTTTTTTAAACAATTTGTATATTAATTATTTTGAATAGATCACGTGCGCAATTTGGAATCATTATTTTTTTCCTAATTATTATTATTTATTATGTTTATTTACTTATTTATTTTTAAGTGAAAAAATATATGTGTGTAAATAAATATATATACATACGTAATACAATCACGATAATGTGTAAAAATAATTTTGATCATTTATCGTCATTTGTTTTTAACCTTTGAATATCATTTTCATACTTTTTTTTTTCATTTTACAATGTAATCACTTATTTGTAACTAATTATTATATTATTGTATCTAATCTCATCATAAAATAAATAAACAAACATCCGTGCAACAACACGGATATCTCATTAATGACTACTAAATGGGAGGAGGAGGGAAATAAAATAATGTTAGGACACTATATTAATTAATTTAGTATGTGAATTTACATTTTTACATTGGTGTACATTTAAATATTGACACGTCAATTAATGATAAAAGTTTGTATTTATCAATAAAAAAATAATAACTAATATATCACATCAGTTAGTATGTAAGAGTATGTTTGGTAGGAAAAAAAAGTAGAAGGAAGGAAGAAGGTTAAGGGATTTTAGGAGGGAAAATAAAAATATAGGTTGTTTGGTAGGAGAGAAAAGAGAAAGGAAGAGAAAATTGAGTGGAAAATAATACATGTGGACCCCACTATTTTTTTTTCTTTCCACAAGTGGGCAGAAAATGGGGGCAACTCATTAAAGTGAGCAAAGTTACTAAACTACCATTTTCTCTATCGACATCCAGCAAAAAATTTAAGGGTATAAAAGTAATTTACGAGTAAGATTTTTTCTTTCCTCTCAATTTAACTTCCAATACCAAACAAGTGAAGGTAAGCTCATTTTCTTTCCATATTCTCATATCAAACAACATAAAAGAAAATCAATTTCCTTTCTATCATTGATATTTTCTATTACTTCCATATTTTCTTTTATTCTATTTTCTTTCCTTCCTACTAAACATAGCATAAGAGATAGATTAAAGTTGGTATTTGCTAGAGAGAAATAATAAATTGGGAGTGGAAAATAAAAATTATTATTAAATTTTTGGGGAAAAGCAATTAGTAACAATTTTGAATTTGACAATTCAAAAATTTCTAAAATACCCTCGACTCTAGAACTACCCCAAATAAATTTTAGGGCTTGTTCTTTTGAGTGAAAAACTCAAAAAAGGCAATTCGAGTTACAATTTTATTCGAGTTCATGTTCTTTTAAGTTTAAACTCGAGCTTAGGACTAAAACTCGAGTTCAGGACAAAAACTCGAGTTCAAGTTTCCCCTTCAACTCGAGTTTAGAAACTCGAACTCAAATTAATGAACAGTATTTTTTCTATTATTAAAAATGCTATAATTTTTTCGTTTTCATTCTGATTGAGATGATTTTTGTTTCTATGCGTTGACAACGAAAAGACGAATAAAACCCGACCCATATACCATATTAAAAATTTTCATCAGCATTAAGTTTTTATTAAAATACTATTTAAATATAAATTCAAGTTTTGACTCACTCAAATACAAACTCAAAAAGATTTTTATCTTAAATCATAACTTAAATGTACATAACCAAACACAAACTCAAGTTACAAGTTCAACTTAAGTTATAACTAAATTTAACTCAAGAATTATACTCAAGTTAAACTCTAAAAAACAAGTTTTTAGATTCCCAAACAACACTGCTGGAGAAGATAAAATCATCGCTGAATTTCGCGATGAAGCCAAAAATCACGTAGGAAATCCATCGGAATAGTGCTACAAGACTAGAGCTTTATCACAAATTAAAGATCTCCCTAACGAGGCGGCGCGTTTGAGATGGATAAGACTAACGATGAAGACAATAGGTTTCGTCGCTTGCAAAATCATGCAGAGGAGTCACGCTTTGTAAATGTCACGAGTGAGGAAATAGAGTGAGTAAATAGAGGAAAAGAGCAAGAAAGGGAGAAAGAGAGAGAGGCGGGTTGCATAGAGAAAAAGGGAGAGAAGGACAACAGAAAGAGAGACAGAGGCGGGTTGCATAGAGAAAAAGGGAGAGAAGGACAACAGAAAGGGACAGGGATTGGGAGGGGTGGTCAACGTAGAGAGAGAGAGAGAGAGAGAGAGAGAGGAGATAAAGGGTTTGAGAAGAGCTTAGGTTCTGTCTATTTTACTAATTTAAATTTTTAATTTAAATTTTATTATAATTAAAAATTTTTATAAAAAATTACATTTAATTTTTCTACTATAGTAAAATTTTTTAATATAAAATAACTTATTAATTCAAATTAAAAACTTAAATATACGAACTGAACGAAGCCTTAGAGTTTTTCAATTTTTGGGTGATTTCTTTTTAGGGTTTCAAAATTACTATTAACCTTAATTAAAATAAGAAAAACAATTAATTTTTTTTAAGAATATGGTATTTACTAACTATCTAATATAATTTCCTTTTTGATCCATCTCTCTCTTTCTTTCTCAAACGAAAAATAAGTGCAAAGGTGTGCAATGTTTGGTCGTAGCTCTAGCGCCGCCTCTAGGCGCATCGCCGGGCTTCTGACAGTGAAAGTTGGTCACTAAATTCGTCTCGACGTCAACTTTCCTGTAGTGGTGGTTGTGTGTGAAGCGTGCTAGGAAATCATTACTCGCCCCGTCCGACTAAGTTAAGTCCCTAAAATCTTGGAGCTGAATTGTAATCCGCTGGTTAGAAATAAACTATTAATCATATTCCCACATCATATGGTATGAGCATTAGCATTGATATTTATCTTTACAAATAAACTTACGATATTGATTTTCACAAATAAATATTTTCAATATTAATGGCATACTTCTTAAAGAAAAAAAAAACCTTCTACATTGTCGTGATAGGATGAACAAAGGAGAAACAAAAAACTGCCCGTGAAAGAAAATAATTCCAATCACATGGTACCATTTTGTAATATTAATTCCATTTACTTTTTTTTGCTAGTTAAATTTCAATATTTGATTCTCATATGCAAGTTTATGTGCACTCTCTAATATATAACTATGTTACTTAACCTTATACCATGTTGCCGTACTTCAATGGAAATTTTAAAAGTTAATCAGTGATTTTTTTTATTACCCAATCGCATTTTTTTTAAAGTACACGTTTAACTTATTTATCAACCATTTTTTTTGTTGAGGGCTCTTTACCAATACGAGGACCGAGCCTAGTGTACCAAACTAAGGGGATGTTTGGTTGGAGAATTCAAATCATGATTTGAATCATGGTTCGCTATAGTGTTTTCTTTCACAAAAAATACACGTAAATTGAAAATAATTCTAATAACATGATTCTAATCCATGAATCAAACGTCTCCTAATGCAGTTCCTGATGCATACGGTGAGTGGAAGGCACAAAGATGTGTGTTCATCTACATATTTTCAATGTAAACCGATTGCGGTTAACAAAAAAAAAAATCATTTCCCCCTAGATGTCCTCAACTAAAGCTCACCATTAGATCTAATTTAAATGACTTATTTTTTCTACATTATTTGTGTCAATGGTTTAGATATTTACGTGGAATTGATGAAAATATACATTTTCCACGAGCCCTAACAATAATAATAACAATAAAAGTAATAACACTAACAAAAAAACACTAGCTAGCTACCTAGGGTTTGATTTTGGAATAAATCAAAGTTCTCCTACCAATTTATCCCTTACGTTTT